CATTGAAGTATTTCCAACTTGACTCTTTTTTAGAAGATATTGAAAACTCAGCAGCTGAATTAGACATTTCCAATACACACAATCCTGATATCGAAAAAAACATTTTGATACGCTTTTGGAAATTCTGAAATCAGCTGTTGACAAACATGCTCCGCTTGAGAAAAAAAAACGCGTAGAGAACTGAGATTCGACTCGAAACCGTGGTTTACGATAGGTATCAAAAAATCAATCGCGACTCGTAAACGTTTATATAAAAGTCATTTTTTATCCATGGACAAAACAAAAATAAGATATTACAAAAGATACTCTAACATTCTTACACATATCAAGAAAAAGGCTAAAATAAAATTTTATCAAGAAAAATTCAAAGAACTAGAGGGTGACACAAAAAAGACATGGAATCTCATTAACACAATCACTAATAAGAAGCATAAACAAAAATTTCCACACGAAATTGAGACAAACTATGGCATTATATGCAACTACCAGTCCATATGCGAAGAATTTAACACTTACTTTGTAAACGTTGGTCCTAATCTTGCATCAAATCTGACAAATAATTCTATAAATTTTATGAAATATTTAGGCGAACCCCAGAAAAATTCAATTTATCTGGAGCCTATACTAGAATATGAAATTATTTCACTTGTAAACAAAATGGATTCAAGAAAAGCTTCTGGTCCGGACGGCCTGTCTATTCGTTTTCTAAAAATGATGATTCATATCATTAGCAAGAATCTTACAGATATCTTTAATACATGCATGCAGCATGGAGTCTTTCCGCAATGCCTGAAAGTGGCAAAAGTGACGCCTGTGTTTAAATCAGGAGATCCAAGCATAGTAAGCAATTATCGACCAATTTCAGTTCTTCCAGCTGTAGCCAAACTTTTCGAAAAACTATTACACATCAGATTGGCAGAATATCTGGACAAATTTGACATTTTGTCAGATAAACAATTCGGTTTTAGACTTGAACACTCAACAATTCACGCGGTTTTAGACAGTGTTACTCATCTATATATGAATATTGCTGAAAAACAACATTCGGTTAACATTTACGTGGACTTAAAAAAAGCTTTTGATACAATTGATCACTCAATATTACTGCACAAACTTCATCATTATGGTATAAGAGGTAATGCACTGGCGTTGATAAAAAGTTACATAAGTGAACGTATGCAATATGTCAGTTTTGGTAATGTTAGATCTACTTCACAAAATGTTAGTATGGGCGTACCACAAGGTTCTGTTTGGGGCCTCTATTGTTCATAATCTATGTGAATGATATCCATAATTCCAGTAAATTTTCGACACATCTTTTTGCTGATGACACTTCTTTCAAACTTTCGAGATGTTCCATTCACCAATTAGAAACCGATTGCAATTCTGAGCTCTCAAAGATTGGCAAATGGATGCACTCCAACAAGCTAACTGTGAATCCCCAGAAGACTAAATACATTGTAATTTCTAGGAATGATCGTGCAAGCGTAAATCTATATCTTGATGGTTTAAGCTGGAAAAAGTAAAAAAAGCTTCTTACTTGGGACTTGAAATTGATTGTTGCTTGAACTGGAGTAGTCACATTGAACTGCTATCAAAAAAGTTAGCACGAGCCGTTGGAACGCTGAGTAAGCTACGTGGATTGGTCTCACAAAAAACTCTTCTACAAATTTATTACAGTCTCTTTTATTCACATATGTCTTATGGTATAATAATATGGGGTTGTTCGGCAAAACAGCATCTGAAAAAGCTCAGTGTACTGCAAAACAGAGCAATTCGCATAATTTCCAAATTTTCCAAATTTATGTACCGTACGAAACAAAACTGTTCTCCAAATACTTTTATGAATTATTTTCAAAACATAGGTTTAATCCACAATCATGGCACAAGATACTCACAGCACAACCTATTTGTTCCAAGGTCAGACTCATCGATTTTGCAAAAATCCATATTGTTCCAAGGTCCGGTTATTTGGAATGAAATTAGTCGGGAAATAAAAGACTGCAGCTATGCATGCTTCGCCCGCAAACTTTTTAAAAAATATATCGATAGCTACAAGTGACATACTCACACCATCGGTCGCTGTTGGTAGGAGGACAAGAAATTACTGTGTTTTAACCCTACTCCGCCAGTCGCTCTGTGGCCATTTTACATGGGTTATTTTAATTGTCAACCATTAAGCCCTAAATGACTTTTTCATAGCGTGTTTTTAATAGAGTTCTATTCAGTTATATACCGGTATGTTTAAAACACACTCCTAAAATAATATTTTTTTATGCGACAAAATTTCTATTGAACAACCTTGAACTTGCGAGATTTTGTGTCTAGTAGAGGTTAATTAATTTTTATTTCAACGTTTTCTTGTGTTATTTTCCAACAGAACAACACCAAAACCACTATTATAGCAAGAATGGATACTCTAAAATTCACGATTGTATTTACAGAATTTTCAAATTCAAGGCTTCAATTGACAATTTTGATGATGTCATACCTCTAATTATTACTGCACAGTTTATTGTAATTTATTTCCTGTCTGAGTCACTCTAACGATTTTACATGCCACTCAATGTATCGAACTAGTATTTAAAGCGAAGCTAGAGTCCCTTTTTCGTGAAACATACGACTCTACTATAGAACATTAACTGTAAAAGACCATTATTCCAGTTGGTTAGGCTTGAATTATACTGTGTACATGCCATCCCCCATAGTATGGTTTAAACATATTCAATTGAGTTTTGTTTTTTCTTTTGTTTTTGTTTTCCTCTCTGTTAGTTTTGTTAATTTATTTTCGGTGTATGCTACTTCAGCTCAATTTCGTTTAAAAAATGGTAATTTTATATTTTTTTAAAGGCTGTGACTGACTCGATGACCTAACGGTCGCTTCGTCACAGCCTCGTCACAATGCCTTGGAAATTAATTTTGAAATGTTGTATGTTGTATTTTGATTTTGACATTGTTGACGAAATAAAATACTACTACTACTACTACTACTACTACTACTATTTTACTTAACGCAATACGCAAGTTGTCACGGGTATCGAGGCGATTGCGAGCTTAGTTTTGATAACCGTCAGTGCCAAATATCCTCGCTCGCACAAGTGCCTTGTCGCGAATTGTAGCAGAAAAGGCGTCCGCTGTCCGTCGCAAACACGACATCCTAGCTGGCTTTCGGTATCTCTCGCAATATACAACTTTTTACTCATCAAATGTGCACACACTGCTTCGTTCGCGGTAAATGGTGCCTCGAGATGAAGTCACATTTTCTCTAGATATTGAATAATCTAATGTCGAGAAGCGAGCTTTTTCATTGCGTCGTCTATTACAATTTACATTACCAAAAAGACACCCATTTTTGGTTATTTTAATCCACTAAGACGACATTCCACGCGGTCAACACAACGACAAGCGACGTGCATGGTTACCGATACCATAAAAGTAATACACGTGACTGGCATATCAGAATTGTGATGTAACAATGAGCTCAAGACAGTTCTTTCCGTGAATGAAACTTTATATTTCATTATTTTTAAATACCAGAGTTTAGAAGCTAAATTGAAACATTGGGAAAGCTGAAAATTCTTCCTTCTCCTCTTAGATTGCCCTTGCATTGACGACCTTGTCGCGACCCATTTTTAAACCTTCCGCGACCCATGTTTGGGTCGCGACCCATAGTTTAAGAACCACTGATCTAAGAGGTGCCGCAGCACAACTGATTCTATTTTTTGCATCATGTTGCTTGAACCCATACTTCTTATACAGATTTATATTTAGGATTTGACATAAGGCGGCAACGAGATATACGTCATTGGTATTGAAACTGCCTGAAATTTGTTGACTTATCTGTAAACACATAGGGCGATATATGATAGGGATAAAGACAAAATCGCGTGTTCTCTAGTATTATTTGAAAAAAGGAAAGATATATATATATATGTTCTTGGGTGCCGGTGAGCTTTAAGGTAAGCTAGATAGAACAACATGATCCAATGCAAATATTGCAAGTATATATATATATATGCTAATCCCGCTACTATATTTTGGAAAGCATCATTCGAAAATGCTAAAACCCATTGAGCATACAAATGTTTCCCTCTATTTTCGAGAACATCAAAAATATTATATGTATTCATAAGAATATGTTGATGATTATGTATAGCACGACAGCTTGTCTCTCGACAAATATCAATAGAAAAATTAAAAACATAAAGACATATCACAAGCTGTAAAAAAGCAATTTTGAAATAACATTTCTCTACTTATCGCTCCAACATTATTAACGTTATTAATATTTTGCTAGTGCAGATACCACGAAGCACCAAGAAAAACCAATAAAATCAAAATTTAATTACAATAATGCTATGAAAATTTCGCAGTGCTAGTGAATAAACTAAATTATTTGTCGGAACTAGGAGCGTATTTCTACATTTCCTGTATATTTCAAAATGATACATCGATTCCGGTCTCACACAACCCATTCGTACATGGCCATTATATTCAGAGAAAATACTTTGAATTGGGCTAGATTAGCTTCTAGGAAAATGCTACGAATTATTATTGATACAATTTTGTCCAATTACTGCCATATATTATCCGATTGATACATTTTTTTAAATGATTATGCATACATTATATACTCCAATATTTGTATATAAAAAACACACCATCCACCTGATATCAGTAGAATATAAATTTGACTAACGCTTTTCTCCTCCCTATGAGGTTTGTGTTTGATGTAGTACTAAAAGATAATATCCGATTGATAATTTTTCAAATGATTATGCATACATATTACATTATATACGCCCATTCAATATATAAAATCTTTTGATAAGCAACATACAATCCGCCTGATATTAGTAGAATATTATTTTGACTACGCTTTCCTCACCACTATGAGGTTTGTGTTTGTTTAATGTAGTACTATAGTCAAGTAATGGCTAGGTTATGGAAGTAAATGATTATTTTCTTTGGGCTGCAAATTTATATTTGATCTAAAATTCAACTACATTTTGTGTATACTTTATGACAGAAAATATCAGTAAAATAGAACAGGTATTAGAGTGTACACTGTCAGCTAATATTTGAGGAAAATAAACTTGGAAAGGAAAGATAGAGCTACAAACACAACTTTTATTCAATGCCAGTTTATTTCACACTGAAAATGATTTATCACATGCGGGCTGAATTTATTGGATGTATGCTTCTAGGTTAGCAAATTGTAGAGTATAATATAATGAAAATATATCTATATATAGTACTGAATAATGCATATTGATTGTACAATACATTGATAAGATTGCAATTTCATTTGCTGTATGATTTTCTATATAGCCTAGTTCGTTTTAATTCCGTACAATTCTTGAATCTTCGATATGCCATTCATTTTGCAAAATGAAAAAGAAAGAGTCCGGTGACTTAATTTTAAGTAAAGTTTGTAATATATTCATTTATACTTTATAAAAAAAAAATTCCAATTCTAAACAATAACACTATATTTACGGTCGTACATTACAGTGGCTTCACAAATTACGGTGTCGCATTCAAATTGTTCTTCTTCACAAGATTCTAACCTTGAGAGTAGTCCCACAAAAAATGTTGGGTTATCGATCTCTCTTGTAATGGGAATAGTATTTGCAGCAGAGATGATATACTTTGTTATTCGCAGGTTTTGTAGATTGAGGTGAGTAATCTGCATAACATGTTGCATCTGATAGGATGTGAATCAAGGATTTTACAAAATTTCGCGTTTGATTATTTTGTTAAAATGTCATAAAGTTGGCCAAAAACGAAAGCATATGATAAGAATACAGCATTAAATTTTTTTTTTCGAATAACTTCTCAAAAAGACTGTGATAAATATTTGCAATTGCTATAAGACGATACTATTCATATTAGAACTTGATGTATATATATAGGTAGAATGACTTTCACGATTTTGTGCTGTACATGGGTATCTTAATTCTTTGACAAAAGGGTTGAACCACAACAGGATTTTCAGACAACAGTTTTGTGAAAAATATTAATTAAACTAGCTGTCAATGTATAAATTTAAAAAACATGTTTTTCAGAAAAGCGGAAGAGATGAAATTGCAAGATGTTGAGATGGTTATGATAGATATGCCTGAATCTATTAACATGGTTATAGTGGATATGGCGGTAACCCCGCAAAATAATACGTAAGCTCATTAATCGTTGTCAAATTAACTTTGCCAAAAATATTATAATGGGACTATATAATGCAATTGAAATCGAACAAAGCAGAGCCAAATTGCTTAATTTTTTTTAGAATGGAATAATCCCTTCTAAATCCATTTCAGAGCTAATTAAAAAGCAAGCTTTCATTGTTCGATGTGTATTGATTGTGATGAGTTGAACTCCAAACCAACCATATATATAGGAAAAAATAAAACAAGTATAAATCTTATTATATATATTGAAATACACGTGGAGTTCGTGATTTTAATTCATTGAAATAGCAGAAAAAAAATTAGGATCTCGGGCGAGTTCCGGAACGAATATGATCTTATACTGAAACCAACAAAATATTTTGCAATATTTCATATACGTATTATATTTTTAACTATGCGATCTGGAGTAATAAATATTGATGAAACTGTTTCAATTAACTGTTTTCAGATAACTCCTTCCGTCTTATTATTAAAATTTGATATCTAAGTTATCCTTTGTTGAATATTTGTATGAATCTCAATTTATATTGACTCATCAGATTCTGCGGAGGTATACCACCGGAAAGAAAAGAGGGAAATGGTCATGGATAACTCGTGGATATGAATAACGCAAACAAAAAAGTGGCAGAACGTGTCAAAGACGACAAAATGTTATGGTCTGAACATTGGGATCATTTTAATATAATTACAATTTTTGCGTTTCACTTATGTAATGTTTTTGTCACTAATAATTTCGTTTATGCTGTATAGGAAATATAAATAATCTGAATAAATACTGAATTCATAATTTGAGTCTATGCTATTCAATATTTATTAGAATTTTTTTAACTGTATTTTACAAAGCTTAAAACAGTCACAAATCACAATATCATGTGTGTTGTCATGTCATATATATATAGCGACGGTCAGTTTCTAAATGTAACCTTGAGCAGCCAAGTAGTGTGGAGCTGTCGAAGCAGCCAAGATATTCAATCTGAAGCGGAAATACTCGAAATCGGAAAGCCACAACAAGTAGGTTTATTTTTTGTATATGGAATTTTCGTGTTGAGTTGTATGGTTGAAAGGTGATTCTATCAAGTTTTCCTGTCAATTGCGTGATGAATATATTCCGTCCACACAAGTACATTTTGCAGGTATTGCAAAAACAATAGAAAAGAGTCACGATAAGCGTTTAATCGCGCCAACGAGACCATGTGAAAGCATTCACTGATATCTAAAAATGTTAAATGGCTTTGCTTTATTCTAAAAGAGACGGAATGTTGGATGATGTAGAGCAGTGGTTCTCAACCTTTTATGGCTCGTGGCCCTCTTCCATCGCCTTTTTGCACTCGTGGCCCCCCTGTTCACCACCCTAATAAAACTAAACGGGTTTTTGCGTCTATAATAAGATAGCAAAGGTTATCTCGCAGTCTAGTGAAACTACCTGTTAGATTAGACTGTCTACCGGCGAACTATTTTGATTAGAAGATTCCAAATTCCTTTATGATCTAACAATGTATGCACAAGAAAGTGAATACTCCCTGCAATCTCAAATAACCTATTCAGGCTATGAAACAGAGGTGAACGCTGAACGGGTAATTTTATTTTAAAAGGGTTAGTATGCAAACAAAGTCAACAAAGTCGCTTTATTATCAATTATCAGCCTTGTGTTCTCGCCCCCTTGAACTGCTTCGTGGCTTACTTAGGGGGCCCCCAGCTCCCGGTTGAGAACCACTGATGTAGAGGGTATGTGAAACCGGGCTGTTACCATCTATGCCAATATAGTTGATTCTAACGATTTAGTCGCCAGGACATCGCACGCGTTTTCGCGAGTGCTTTAGTTCTATCTGGTAACTTGCGATGTACCGATTTATTGGCCATACTTTCGATATCGGGGGTGTCTCCAAAATATCGTGTCCCACTTGTCCCACGTGTCTCACGTGTTCTACTTGTACCACGTGTACCACTTGTCCCACGTGTCCCACTGTAACACTTGTCCACGTGTCCCACTTGTACCACGTGTCAATTGGGACAAGTGGTACAAGTGGTACGAGTGGGACACGTGGTACACGTAGGACACGTGGTACAAGTGGTACAAATGGGACAAGTGGGACACGTGATACAAGTTGGACAAGCGGGACACGTGGGACAAGTGAGACACGTGGGACAAGTGGGACAAGACATTTTGGATACACCGGATATGGGTATTCGTATCGTTATCGGATAAAAATAGAATAAATATATTCTAATATATTCATCTCTTTGATCTGATCTAGATTATATGAAAGAAAAGTTAGTTCACCGATGGTAAAATTATTTTTGCGTCGAAGTTTCATGTTCGCGACGTCGCCTCGTTGACCTTGAGTTATGCCACCCTCTTGCAAGTAGAAACGGTTTAATATGAGATAACTATTCCGGGTACCATGGCGTTCTATTACAATTTCAATGTTTTTAATTTGAGTTAGTACCAATTAAATTTATTTGAAACTACAATTTTATAGGCTACACAGTTTTACCCTGATTCTCACCTGTTTCAGCTATTTATTATCCAATCTACTTTGGATACTTCAACTTTGGATATTTTCGCTACTAAAATTATATCATTAATATTTGGTATAATGAATAGTAACAACGACGAAATGCGAATTTTCTCGTTATGTAAAAAACAAAAAATTACATCATATTGTCACAAAATTTTGCGTATTCAACACTATGTATTGCTTTAATAGGATAAACGTTTATGTACTTCACCATGTGTAGTGGCGCACTATGCGCTTTAATTGAACAACGCAATTCCTGGTACCAGTGCGCAATGACATGTTTGCAGAAACGGCAGTATTTTGAGATGCAATTAATTGGAGTATTTAATAAATCTTAGTAGGTAGCCATTTATGCATCTGAATAAATATTAATTTTCGTGTTCTGCGTTTTTTTTTGTTGTTATCGGTAAAAAAGGTGATAAGGTAAATTTCTAATGGCAACACGCTCAAGCATCAAGTTTCACTTGCTTATGAACCTGTCGATTGACAATCATCTCATCCATAGCAAGCAAGAATAAATTTTGATGCCTATTTGGAAAATTTCACAGATTGCCACTTTGGTATGGTTAAAAAACTCAGAATGTACCTTCCTTTTTCAAGAATAATGATTACTGCTCTTGTTACAATGCCAAAACAGGTATCCAGTGAAACTTGAGTTATTCTTGCAAGAATGAAGAAGTATCACGAATGTATCATTATCATCCGCAATAAAAATGCAGGGGTGTTTAATCCTTATATGGTAATCACTGGTTTCTAATCATTACGCGTATATGAGTATACCCATGATATCAATGCTCAGCCAGAGACAAAGAGTTTGCGAACTCGGTTGGCGTGACGACCCGTTCTTGACGATCGAGCTTTCGGAGAACCCGGCAATACGGCAAGCATTTTTCATTATTTGTTTATGTTAAATAATACCCACTCATTCGTATTAGTGAGGTTTTCGAATTTTTGATAAAAACACATAAATGGATTTGTTGCACACTTGCACAGTCACAATATTGCCAATACTGATGTGAAATTGTGAAGTGCTTGTAAATTATACTGCCTATATCTGTCGGCAGTCAAGTAAGTGGCCACATGCATCTACATGTAGCTTAAAAGCAAGTCAGTGCAATTCCGAAGTGTAGTGGCGCTTTTATCGTGTACCTTTATATCGGTATCAGCAATATCGACTCTTTTTTCCATGTCGCTAATACTATCGGTATATGTTAAAAGGCACAGATATTTCCGATCTATTCAGCTCTTTGATCTATCTCACCTAGAATGCTTTTGAAGTATAAATTATTATAGGCGAATGGAACATGAACGCAGCATTTACAGTCTCGTTAAACTCATTACAGTTGGTATAGTGAGTTCGGAATAAATATATATATGTTTATTATCTTGTAAAGAAAGCCACCCGATATATAAAGTTTCTAATCTCGCAACGCGCTTTCTTGCGCCCGTGAACAGCGAAACGTCTGCTATCATTTGCTTAATAAAAGTGCTGAGCATCTTTGCTTACCCCTTGAAGGTAAAATAACAAGTGGCCAAAACGTGGATTACTTTACGCCCACTGGTTATCAAAAGTTAAAGGACTTCTGTCATTGTACCGGATAAATATTATCAGACTATGGAGCCACCAAGTCACTCATGCTTGATCATACACTAACTCCAAATGGTAAGGTTTTGATAGTCTTTATTTTACAAATTTCTATGATTTCTTCTCCGATAATCGTGGAATTGCCATTATTTTCTCGTAGTTGGTTATTGGATTACATAACAGTACTACAAACGTGATATAGGCCTACATTATTCCATTGTAGATCTACCAGCAAGATAAAACCATACCGTCCGATGCTTTCACCTATTCATAAGACTGACTGAATTGATTATTGGATTCGTCAAAACCTATTTTTTGACCACGCATATGCATATGAAAGTGCAAAGCAAGAACAAGCTCATGTCATGCATAGAGATGTTGACCTGCATCTTGCTGTCTTAGACATCGCTCACGACAAATCGAGAGCATTTTGTGCATATAATACCCTTTGTGCTGTATTTATGTACTGAGAACAAAGGTCGGATTGGTCGCTTCGCCCTCTATTTTTTTAATCATATCCTTAAATGCGAGCCTGTTGTGTTGATAAAATGGCTATAGTAGCCATTTTTATTAAAATGACCCGAAAATTCTTCCACCGGATCTTTTATGAATTGCACATCACGCCAATCTAAGTTTTCTTCAATAGTCTTGGCTTGATCAGAGGTAATAGAAGACTACTCATAAAAACACTCCAACCGAATACGCTTGGCAATTGCAACTTATTGGCAATTGTTTCAAGCTATAAAGAAATTTTGCAAGGTTTCCACCGGAATTTTGTGAGCGAGTAACTAGAATGTATCGTGCATATAAGTAGAATTCTTAGTTTTTAGATTCAAATAATTTTATGGCATTTTATATTATTCTGCTTCTTCAGTTCACTCATATACATATGACAATAAATAGTGTATAAGTAGCTCTCGAGACAAAGTTCCAGAGAGTTTTGTACTGGAGACTGGAGCGGTGAAAAGTTAAAATAACCTGCTACTAGTGTACCATCAGAGCATGTATTCAGTACGGCAGGCAATGATGAAATTAAAATCGTTCGTCAATACCTTCCAAAAATATATATATGTTACTATTTCGCGACAGGATGCGCAGTTGTTGAATAACATCCAATAAAAGTTCTCGCAATATAATCATGAGCAATGTATTCTGACCGGAAACTTACACTGAACTTTTCATTGTTAAATTTTCATTATTAAAATTATTAGTACTTCAATTATTTCTTACATTTTCTTTTCAAGTGAGTTTGTGATATTCCTTTGAATTAAACGCCACGGAAGATGCATTTGCAGTGATCTAATCATTTTAAGGAATCGTACAGTATAAAGGTGATTTTTACTTGATATATATATATGTCAGTTCTATTATTATTTTAATGAAGCTTATGCCTGACTCAGTTTTGTGCACCAGGACTATGATATTACGCGTTGGGTGTTCAAATGCTTCGACCCGTTATGAGGGCGTATCCTATAACATAAGATATAATTCTGTGATTTGTTAGTAAATTGATAATATTTGATGTAAATTAATAAAGTTGTAGCCGATAACCATTTAAAACCGGTTAACCAATTAACCATTCCAAGCCCGAGTTAATCTTTATTTCAAGTGTATTTCACTATCTGTTATTTGTTAACATTTGGCATTACAATATATTTTATGTTCATTAACCTCTCAAGGTATCAGTTAGGGATTACTCCGCTAAAGTAGTGAGGTAAGGACACGCCTAATATGGACCCCATTTTCCCTACATTTTATGATGACACCAGTTCGTGATCTAAAAGCAATTAACTGCAATCCAACAACTAAAATTTCGTCAATCAAAACGGGAAAGCAATTTAACAGTAATGAAATCAAGGGAAAATGTAATCAAAGAATTAAACTTGGGCAGTATGTCGAGTTAATAAGCAGTCGAGGAAACCAGAACGTAGAAGATTTTTTGACAGAAAACGATGTATTTAAACCAGGACCTCTTATGACCAGACTGACTTATTTTTAAGCTTGAACGCCCGAATTCAACAATTCGCCCTTCTATTTATTTTTTATTTTTCAAGCTTCAACTTTTTCGCATGAAATGTTTTATGAAAATATCATAAGGAAATAAAATCTGCCAACGACCTTGTTTTGGGAAAATAACATGCACTATCAACAATGAGTTGTGAAAAGTAATAAAATTCACGGTATGTACTGTATGTATGTACTTGCTACAACCTAAATAAAGACTCCCCTACCTCCACAACAAATTGTTGAAAATGAGCTATGTTAGGCGTGATATCAATGTTTATTCCTTTATTGTGTTTGGTGGTTCTTGAAGATCGAACAGTTAGGATTTTTTCGCTCATCCAAGTTTTCTTATTCTACCCTTAGAGTCCTATAAGGCAAGTCCAGAATTCAAATATGTAAAAAGTAACCAAATGAAAGTAGAACACACCAAGTGGAAGGCAATAAGATGGTAAATTCTGTTAAAATATTCATAAACGAAGACAGGTATATAGGCATATATATAAGTCGAAAAAAATCATTTTGCAAGACTGAATCTAATTTCAGAACTCTCCATTCAATTTCTTCTGAAAATCCATTCCAATATTTTCATAATACATTCGAGTACAAGAGTTTCATAACTTTGGATGAATGAGGCATTAATCCATCTATTGTCGTTCAGGTAAGCAATATGGAATAATCAATGTAAATTTCGGTTTCTACGCAACTCTGTCTCTTAGCGAATTGTAAATTGCAGTAATAATAAAATTGTCTGTTCTTTTAGTATTCACATTAGGTCTGAATCTGTAAAAAAATTGTACATTTTGAAGTGAAACTTATATGCGCACAATCAAATGACCGGGAATGCTCACAAACATCAAATTAATTCAGGACGATTTGTTAAAACAAAGTCCACTTAGGTGATAGCACATACAACGTTTCAAGAATCTGTCATTGCAAAATGTCATTGTACGTAATGCTTTATTACTTTTGATTGAAAAAACTTAACCAATGGTGTTTGTGTCGTTGACGATAGTCCAAGTTCAAAGTGCACAGCAAAACCTCTACTTTCAGAAAGTGTTTCAGAGCGGTTCAGTATGGATCGGAAATAGCATATTTAGTACCTTGATTTGCTATAATTTTGACAGCTAGTATACAATAGATAATAGAAAAATAATTTTATTATTGTGTTTTCTAATATATGGAGATTCTGATAATAATTTTTAAGGTACTTACGGGAAACTTTTATGGACATTTCAGCTCTTTTGTAAAAGTTCGAAGCTGACAAAAACAAAATTTGAATCACGTAACAGATACAGTTTTACGATATTACCGAAGCAAAGATGTAAGTCAGGGGTCGGCAACCTACGGCCCGCGGCCCGCGGAGTAAAATAAAAGGCCAGCGGTGCTTCATTGAGTTATAACAACAAAACGGCTGTTTCGACGATTATATTCTTTACGTAATATAATTTATTGTGAGACACATGTAGACTAAATTATATTAAAACCTAACAAGTATATAATTCCCAATTACTGAGGGCATAATTTACAGATAGCAACAAAACGCGGAAAAGTGCAAAGGGTTCAATGGAGCGGAATATATTCAAATGGAATTTTTTGAGATGCAAAGCAATGAGGAAATAAATCTATATTCTATTCAAGAAATGTATCACTTATAAAAAGTATCCTTTTGAAGGAAAACTCTATCCCAATTTGCCCAACTATGCAAAGCAATGAGGAAATAAATCTATATTCTATTCGAGAAATGTATCACTTATAAAAAGTATCCTCTTGAAGGAAAACTCTATTCAAATTTGCCCAACTATGCAAAACAATTCACATCGATGTTTGGAAGTAGGTTACGATATATATGCATGCAAACAATTATTTTCGAAAATAAAGATTACAAAAAACAAGCTGAAAACTAGGATTAGTGATTCCCATTGATAAAATGTTTTAATCTTGGCTTCATCCAGTGTCCCATTTAAAAAATGTTCCCCATTTAGTGATGCCGGAAACGCATCAATCATGATGCAACCAAAAGTGTAACATTGAATGTCATCTGTAAAGTTTGACTAAGACGACTAAGTTGAGTTCACGAAATGTTGCAGTCTTCGCGCGCTGATTAAACTTTTAACTTCTGATCTGTGTGAAAAATTTGTGATTTATAGCCCATCCGTTCGGTTTTTTACTTTCTAAAAATATGTGTGGTCCGCCAAACTTGCAACGCTTAATTTTGGCCCGCGAGCGACAAAAGGTTGCCGAGCCCTTATTTAAGTTATCTTTCTGAAATACCAATGTGCCTACTCAAGAATTATATGGAAAAGTCAATGCGAAACATAACAATTTGAGTGCCATATAACTCAGAAAGTTCAGTTTGCAGTAAATATTTTCATGGCTGACTTTGGAGCATCCGATAGTCATTCATGTGATTTGATCACGCGATAGTCATTCATGTGTCAATTCAAAAATGAATGGTTTCATCTGTGGCCTTGACAACTATATTTAAGCTAAACGATCATCGAAATTCTAAAACTAGATTGAAGATCTTGAAATTTCAAATGTAACCCGGTGAATAGAAAATTATATTTTGAGTCATTCCATTCGCCGATTTTGGTTGTAAAAATTGCTACATGCTAATGAGTTGACAATTTTGGTGATTTCTATCCAAGTTGCTGCAATTATTGCTGATGGTGAAGTGCATGTTTTATTTGCATTGTTAAGTATACTTACCTTCCCCGATTATGATTCCGTCTGAACCATCGCGTTCTGCTAACGTAGAATAATATTTTCCAGTTAGTTTTATACTCTGACATCCGGGTGCCGCTGCAACATACCTGTCGAAAAGCAAATCTAGAATATATTTCAGAACATTCTAGTGGTAAAAAGTAAGATTTAACTTGGATAGCATCGCAGATCAAAATATTGGACTCAAATCTCATGTTCACCGCCTCCTCCGGTAATGGCGAATTGGGCAGGGAGTGTCGAACTGATAAGATCTCGTTCCTTCAAACTATAGCAGTTTCTTACCTATCAGTAACTATTTGTGCATAGTCTAATTATAAATTTTTATTGGATTCAAATAATGGGCACAGCATATACAATTTTCTCTTGTAAAGGTAAAATGCTGTATTATAAAACCAATGTAATAAACTAACCACCAGCCTCCTCCTCCTGTCACAGCGCAGGTCTTCAAGTCTTCCGTCGTACCCATGTCTTTTGTAGAAAAGGTGGATCCACTATGACCTATTATTTTCATGGAATTCTGAAAAAAACAACAGAAAATAATGTTGGGTCGACCTCTTTCGCATATTAGTAGTTTTATCTTCAATTCCATTTACAAGAAGCTGAACTCTAGCCAAGAAACATATTTTATAGTGAACGCGTACAAAACAACGAACGATGTGTGTTTTTCATATTGGGAAAATTAGTTTGAGTGCGCTCCGAGTATCTAAGAATGCGCTCAAAACACTTTAAATAGGTATTTATTAGATCCTCAAGTATTATGTCCATTAGAAACATTATTCTTTTCTACTTACCGGCTGCTTCGAATATGTAAGCGACAGGGTAACAGTATAATTATACGAAATAGTGATTCACTATATAAATATTGTTTCTTCGTTGTAATTTTTGTACCAAAATATTGTGAAATTTTATTTTTTTTCAGATTCAAAATTTAAATATTTCGATCATACCAAATTTGTGGAAGATTCTTCTTGAACGAAATCAGCCACGGTTAGCTGGTAATTACTCGATTCGTCACCAATAGAAAAAGAACTGCAAAACATAAAGTTTACTTAATATAACTAAAGGTGATTTGAATGATAAGCTCAAATTGAAGTGATATAATATGGTGATGAATATGGAACATAATTCATTCAACACTCAGAAAAACTATTTTACGCATGTATGAATAAAGCAATTTCTATTTTCTTACCAGGATGACACCACAAAAAAAACGGAATCCATAATTTTCTTTATTACATCTACAAAAATTATGTTCGCTCTAGAATATGTTCCATAGACTTGCATTCCTTGCGCAAAATTTTGACTCCTTCACTTGGTTTTATGCTGAAGCGCAGTTTTTTGTTTCATAATTTTTCTCGGGCGAAGCCCCTCCGACGGCAGTCATACCGAAACCGATACACTCAATAAAGTGAACGACATGATAAGCATTTCCAAACATGGCATAATCGGTCCGTATTGGTTACGTACGAAAATGAAAGAGGTGGTGGATATCGCTTTGACGACGTAGATGTAGAGGGATTGATGGAGGTGGCCAGTGGCGACCTTCATGCATTAAATCACACCCCTGACAGGGTGGGGAAGCAATTTCGGCAAAGACGGATCAGCAGTTAACAGTGACGTCGTGCGGGTACATCATTCATCGGACTTGAAGCCAACACATATTCTTTCTATAGGGAAAATGCGTATCAGAACAATCCTCAAACAATTGATGAACTCAATGCTGTAATTTAAGCGAAAAATTACAGAAATCCCCACAGAAAAGTATGTGGGAGTGTTTGACAATTTTGCGCAACAGATGCAAGTCTGTCTGTCCAGCGACGAGAAGGGCGTTTTTTGAACATATTCTTGAGAGACCATAACTTTTGTGCAAAATGTCTTATATCTCTGAAATTTTTGAAAACAGTCATACATAAACAGATGTTCAAGTGCAGACAAAATCAAATAGTAGTAATTAAGAAAGTTATGGGTTTTATTTTTTTTGTGGTGTCATCCTGGTATGAAAATAGAAATTGCTTTATTCATACATGCGTAAAATAGTTTACGCATGTATAGGGTCACCCTTAGAAATGTCTCAAAATCCAACATTTAAGGAAAGTATTGCAACGAAAATAATCATACAGTTTCCAAATGCTTTGTGATATTTTTAGGTAATTCTGGGGATTTTGTAGCCTTTGGAGTGGGTCTAATTTATATTCCCTATTGCTTTGAATATTTATTTGCAGTCACCAGTCCGAACAGAATTTGATTTATTTTCCATTTCATTTCTTCATACAATAACAATCATGCTCGGAATAATTGATTATTCAATAATAGATATGTTTTTGATATCATAAAATCATAATAAAAAAGAACTAAATACTTGAACAAAAATTTCAACGAGTGTGGCTGATTGACGTAGGACGGGGTGAAAAAATGCGAAGTTGCAATAAAAAAATTCCTCGTTATTTATAATCTATTCAGTAAAATTTTGCTTGACTCGAATATTGGTTATTGTTCGACCAGCTAGTAAAATAGGGTGCAATAAATTGACAATGTAGTGTAGACCAGTGGTTCCCAAACTTTTTTGACCATCGCCCCCCTACAATATTTTATACAACCTCATCGCCCCCCGGCACTTCAAAAAATGTAAAGTCAGAAACGAATATATTACAGACCAAATAAGAAGACAAATCAGAGTTTATAGTGTTTTTAATGAGATGGATGAGCTTGGTGTTCTTCAGCGAGTTTTTTTTATCATATCTAAAATTACCCCGTTTATTGATGGAAAGGCGATTTCGTTGTTTTGATAGCAAAAGTAGCACGGCTGAAAACCCCTTTTTCATCACAATAGGTCGGAAATGAAAGAATCCAGAGTTCTACCTCCTCAAAAACCGCCATGTACTCTTGCCTTATAGCATTTCACTCCCTAAATTCACCCCATTTCACATTGAAATAATGAAAACAAAGTTAATTTTTCCAAACTTATAATAATGATTTTTGTACACCTCATTCATTCCTACAGCCTGATGACCTGCACCAAAATACTCCGGTAAAATTCATTTCCGATTACTCATCTTACCACGGCCTCCAGTCCAATCCCCAGTCCATAGAATTAATCAGCCATTTGTTTTTGGATTCATTGATTCGGATGTGGAAGAAGCCGTGACCGACTATAGGATACGGCCCAGGGGTCGGCAAATTTTATGTCGCTCGCGGGACAAAATTTATATTGTTTGAAAGTTGAAAACGGAAGAACGCGCGAAAACTGCAACAATTCGTGAATTCAATTCAGTCGTCCTATTAAAAAATCATTACAATGACATTTAATGTGACACTGTCTTGTTGCTGCATCACGCTTGATAGCTTTACAACGCCAAGATTGGAACATTTTCTAAATGGGCAAAAATAATTGTTTGCACAAATATGTACTTCCAAACATCGAAGTGAATGTTTTCGCATGATTTGTGAAATTTGATAAAAATGTTCTTTAAGAGGAAACATTCTTACAAAAATTAAGCAGTGATGAATTTCTCGAATAGAATATGAATTTCAATTTCTTATTGCATCGCAATATATTCGACTATTTACTGCGCTATTGAACCCCTGCCCTCAGCATCAACTTTTCTTCGTGTTTCCATTTGTCTAATTATAATTAAATCGTAAGCGCGTTAAACGAGTAGCTAGCTTTCAATAGAATTTTTAGGATATATTAAAATTTAGTCTGAACGTGTCTCACGATAAATTCTATTACGTAAAAAAATGTAATTTACTCCTCGAGCGTAAATTATAAATAAAATTAATTCATCATCATAACCGCCGTTTGGATGTTTCTCCGGGCATAGACTTTCTTGTTTACTTCGTGACATTGGCCAAGATGCAAAAATAAACGTAACAATGCCCCCTTTCGCATCCGCTCAGACACACTCACTGATTTTTCACAAATTTTCAGGCGTGGTCGCGAACATTACATCATTTTCGTTTTAATTATATTCGTTAGTTTTTAGTTGTTTTTCGGAAATTTAAATATTAACAAATAAGTCAATGATTACTTTGTCTTCCTATAAGTTTCAGTTTAAATACAGTATCAAAAATTATAGTAGAAATAGCTGTGATAGACTAGGCTAAAATTCTTTATCGGTACTTTTAAAAAACAGATTGTTGAATGGTATGAATTAGAATGATAGTTTGAAACAAATACCCCATTTTACAGACAACAACTCGCAAAACCACTCTTGAAATAAGCACCGAAAATGATAAAATGGTAAAGTATAGGAAGAATTTTCCGCGGTCAAAGGTCGGGGATAAGTCTATTCAGTGAATCGTCCCGGGCCAGATTATTTTACTCCGGCCGTATTTTGCCGACCACTGGGATATCAAACTACCGTACCTTACTGCGAAGACGAGTCCAGCAATCCTTTCGCGTGTGATAATCGACCACGTGATTTAATCCTGCGAATGCACACAGAGTACAGAAGTAAGTGCACGATGCGCCGAGCAAAAACAGGTTTCGCGAAATCGCCCCCCTATCGCCCCTTCGACTTTTTCGCCCCCCTCTGTATCGTTTTCGCCCACCGGGGGGCGATATTGCCCACTTTGGGAATCACTGACTGTAGACTACGACCAGACAGGCTTAGACAAAATACAGTTCTTACCCGTAAATAAATGTAACAACAGCATCCATATCTTCTGTATACTCGATTCTCAGCTTGTACTTTTCTTTTGATGTTATTTTGTGCATATTGTCTAATCCTGGGTTAAAAGAATAATAAAATGAAGACTGATAAAAAATGATAATTTGTGGAAATTCAAGGCATTTGTAATTGGAAAACATTACCCGGGTTCGGCAATATAAATTTTTACCCGGGCATATAAAATGATATTAGTTTTTGCTATATCGATTAGAAAACAGTTATTTTTTGACAAAATTTGCTTGGTTTTTAATACTTCTTGGCCAGCTAATAAATGTAGGCAACATTTTAGATGACATTTATTATAAGTGAAAATAATAACATCGTGTAGTTGCTTAATTGCTTCCTCACCCAACCAATAATTTCCTGTTGTGGAAGAACCCATTTCTGATTTATAAGAAGCAATATTAGCATCAAATATTTCTGTACTTTCCTCTAGTCGCATAATCACCTAAATACGATATTGTAAATTAATTCTTATATTGTTGTAAGTATTGTCAACTTTCAAAGTTATACATAAGTTATAAATAGATATGCAATAGTTGCTGGTTGATGAACTATCGGGTATTCAAATAAACATACATAAGCGACCGAAATTTTATAATTTAATACATAATCTGTGTACATAGTGAGATGATATTTTAGCCTTTTGCTGATTTTTTTGGGGCTTTTAGACTATTGTCGAAGAGGACTGCTGTGTATCAATTTGTATATAGATTTTACCGAAAACCTTAATCGTGCCGTTATTGGTTGTGTAGGCGGTGTAGTAAAATTTTATACTATTCCGAAGCTCAAAATACGAGTTACAATTTTGCTAGGAATGGCATCTAGGCATCTTGTGAACTAATCATGGTCTAAGACGCTGAGCGCAACAGCCTGAATTCAACTAAGACTTCAAGAACAAAATTCTGAAAGCGCTCATGCTATGCACATGGTATCATGGATACGTTTGAATGTTATGGGACGTACCAGCCATCCTTCATTTACGGCACTACAGAAAACGTTCAATCCCGTAGGGAATAAAGGAAAAGAAAGTATATAAATTCCTCCTGAGTCATCATTATATTTCCATTTTCTTGCTGTAAGGTAGCGAACATCCTCACATTTCTGAGGTCTGTCATTGAGTTGTTTCACTGTTAAAACATTCATTAATATAGTTTTGTGTTGATTGATAATAATAATGATAAGAATAACGTAATAACAAAAAGAACGTTACTGGATTGTCACGTTAGGCACGGAAAATTATGCCCACTGCTAAGAGGGATTGACGGCTCTGTGCCTTTTCAATTGTTTCGTAATATGATTAAACAAGTATATCGCAACCAGGTGAATAATGAGGTAGTAGTTGTCGAGTGACGAAAAATCATTCTATCTCTTCTACCGATTATATATAAATATAACTATAACATTTTTCTAGTGCCTGCGCAATAATTGTGTAAGAGTGGGAACTGTAATAACATATTCGTCAAGTGCAAGGGCTTATTCTCGCAAAATGCAGACTTTTACCGCGAAATTACTCAGATCTTACCCATGCTTATTTGACACTAAATTAAAGTTATTATGTTATGAATATTACATATATGTTGCACTTACTATCAAAGTTTGTTGTAAAATTGCCCGTGTGTGCTGAATAATGCATAAAAAAAATAGAATATATTTTCTGCAGAACTGTGTTCGTACAAATGATGCGTATGGGACCACTGTCTTCTGGATGGCAATTTTAGTATTGAGTTTTATCTTTCTGATAGAATTGCGGAAATTGAAGCAATATTTTGGCCTCGTCAGTTCTGCTTTTAGTTGAGGGCAAAATTATCGAATCTCGTTTTTGTCAATTGTTAAAGACAATGGAAAATTGATCAATTGATAAGTCTATAAATTCCCATATTTAGTGCATTCATAAATTTAAGGTTTTTATTTGTAATAGAAAGCTGAATACCCGAGTGACCATAGAGTATACGACATCCAAGCACCAGGCAATACGCCATAACATTTTGTAGGAGTATAATACTAGTATAATTTATATATTCGTTTGAAAAATAACAAGAAAAAGGCTTAGTGAATAAAATCGCAAATTGGAAATTTTCTGATCAAACGCCTGGTCCGGGCTTATAACTTTTTTTTGCATTGTACGAATAACCTATTTTTTGCATCTATTTGTACAAATAAGATGAATATACTACCGTCTATACTCTGCTCGAAAGTCGTTTTGTAAGCTGTTAATAAAAAAATAAAATAAAATAAATCGTTTCCACGAATCAAAACTTGGAAAAGAATAAAGTGTCAGTTCAGGTTAACATTGTGTCCTTGATTATAGCGCTAAACTATATTTTTTCTTACAGGCATGCAATTTAAACTATGCGTGCATTTTCTGTTTATTATAGTAGATAATCATGTAATAACAAATGTATAATTGATTTTACATTTGTAGTTTGATATGTGTCTATTGCGATGTCATATTGAATTAATCGTACAATTTTATTTACAAAAAATTATTTTTCGCAAGGTATGCGACCGAGTTCACTGTTTAATTATGTGGGTACATGTGCAAATATAAACACAAATGTGATATATTGATAATTGTTTGAATCTACTATGAGATATCAATCGATCTGTTCTCATTTCATTTCGCAGATTCAAATCTGCATCAGCGCAAAAATCGAAATAATGTATGGATTAGTTCCATAAATATAAGTAATGTGTATTTGCTGAGCAGCTTGCCATTTTGACACTGAAATACTACCCATCATGATACTTGTTATAAATATCAAGTTTTTACACTCTGAAAATGGAATTAATAGAGAATGGCTTGCATACTCACTTTCGTATTCTGTGACTTTTGGTTGCAAGTAAATGCTATACACGGCTGTCAAGCAAAAAAAAAATCAGCATGTATTTAGATGACGTAAAATGAATGGCTAGTCATGATAAATTGAGAAAAAAAGATCATTTATCATGGAACCGTCTTTTTATCGAATGGATCTAATATGAAGTATATCTATCACACGCATGGTATATTTAATAAATACTTTATGAATCATGGACACCAAATATAAAATTGAAAATATGGCTTCTTGTCTTCGTAGCCGGGGCTTCTATATTCGCAGTTCGCATTTAAAATCTTGTATGCGTGTGTGAAGGTTAGTTGGAAACACATCATTTGTTTTTCATTTTGTTCATTTCATTTTGTTCACAAGAAGATATTTTGTGTAGAAATCATTTTATAGGAAATTTAAATAGAGCATAGCTAATTGACTAATTAGCTAAAGAACCGTTTTAATATTATTTTATGTCTCGTTTGAGATTTCGCACAAAAATATAAACTGTTACAGTATCTACTTGTAATGTAACTTACTATTTGCCGTTGCCGCGTGATCAAATATTACTGTTAAAACAGGAAATAATATGAATGATATATATCTATAACAAGCTTTTAAATTCACATCTATGAAGCAATAGTGTTTCTTATGGTCAAATTTTGAGGTTACTATTATTTATTAAACAAAGTTTTGAGTTCAGGCTCCCTATCTACCAAACTAGCTTTTTGCATTGAAACGACATTTCTCTCTGAGCATTTTGAATAAGTAGGGCTTGTCTATCTATTGAAAACATCGGATCTAGTCGGTAGTACAGTATACTAAAACAATATTAATCCTAATTACCGTTTAATTTTGAAATTGTCGCATCGTCAACTCCTGCCAAGCACAATTTTGTAACATATTGAATTTTAAAAGGAATAATATAAAATTGGTAAATTATTAAATTTACGAGTTAAAATTGGCGGTATAAATTTAAAAATATTGAATCCATGTGTAATATCACAACTTTAAAAGTTTTGAACCGTTTCTTATGTGAAGTTATACAGCAAATGATTTGTGTAAATAAAAACGTTGATGTTTTATTGATGTCTAGAAATTTTTGAAATAGTAAATTTTTTTTACCGTTGGCGATCTTAATTAACTTGTCTATGTCTCCTATAAATATATAAAATTTTATCATTATTTTCTCATATTTTTTAAAAATATCACAAAGGTTGTATTATCCTTTACCACTAGTTTCCATAGCATTATTTCCAATTATATCTGAAATGTGAAGAGAGAGAGCAATTTTAAAATGTTGATATATATTAGGGTTACCGTAATCTATTTACGTCATTATCGTGTTAAAAACATTTTTTTCATTAACGTTAAAAGTGAAAAGATATAAGAGCACAATAGATCCTGGTCATTCATGGTACAATTCAACAGGTTGTGATGCGGTCAATAAACTCAACATCAGAACTAGTACGGATCTAGTCGTTCTCAGAAGTCCATTGATGATTTTTTTAGTAAAACATCTAATTACGTCGCTTTTTAAAGTGTCTCACCCGTCACACTCCGATTAGTGGCTGTTTCTAAACCTGTTAAATTTAATAGTAAATAAATAGATGAGTCCTGAGCCTCGTCAATCGTTTGAGGCATGCTTCGTTAAAAAAGCTATTTAATTGCAGTCTGCATCAAAATATTTGTTTAAGAAACTAAGGAAAAATCGAGTCACTTTACTCGAGTTAGACTTCAATCTGTTTCCAAGATTCCAGTCATCCAAATAAACTGGCTCTGCTAATCGCTAGTGAGACTTGAATTGGACTTAAATTAGATCAGACTCAAATGAAACTATTAGAATAATCGAAACTTTATTAGCTTGATGCCTAAATAACTTAAATGTAGAATACAGATCATTAGAATTACGACATATATGTATGTTAATTCAATATTACATTACTTTTTTTTTTAAATAGGAAGACTCTCTTTGACTAAAGCATGATTACTCCGTGACTGTATTTGACTCGCGTCTTATCGCAAACACTGGGCGATATAGATACAGAATTGTTTTCGTGGCAATATAAACTATATATTATGTAGGATATATGTATCATATAAAAATCAAAAACACATTATACAGCACAAAGAAAAAGGCAATTCTGTCGTTTTATTCGATTACGGATCATTTACAGTGGGAGTAAATATCGTCACGCTAATAACCGAATTGCGTAAGTCTTTTTTGGCGATTTTGAGTTTTTTATAAAATAGGTTTTTATATAATGCTGCGCACCTGTCTGTTAACTCAGATTTTATTTTAGGAATTCCGAAACCCATAAAAATGGAGATTTAGTATGACATGCACATTTGTGCAATTGTTTCGTCATAATGAATTATCATTGTTACCACAGGACAATTGTGACGTCACAAAGGCAAAAACCCTCGGCGAAGTATTTTCGAGTTTTTGCATCTCGGATTCTAGCTTATTAATTTGAATTTATACTACAGTATAGGAAGGCGTGCACTTGTGATGTTCACTGTCCGAGTCCAATTCACCTTGGTTGGCTTTTATATTGGGTGCATTGCTGTTTTATTCTTTATATTTAATCTTAGTCTTATTTCGGTGGGTTTGCATGTCTCCAAGTCGTAGACACATTTCTGCCTAAGTCACAGTGCGCCATTATGACGTCACTCAACAGCGTCATACAAATTACTTTAAATCCGACTACAATCAAAAAATTGAACCATGGCAAATTATTGACTCTCAATGGCATAACAATATCATTAGGAAGTTTTTTACGTTTTTCTCAAAACTGCTAAAAATGACTTACGCAATTCGGCTATTAGCGTGACGATATGCTGTTATAATATATTTCTACATTTTAATTTTGATATTTAATCTTACCGCCGACGACGCGTTTTATATCCATGACAGCACCTTAAATATAAAAGACTCGTTGATGGACGTAACATATATTGATGTATTTCTGTTACACTACATTTTGAATCTAACTAAGATTTCCAGTATCTACAAAATTTATGTCAACCTTCGACTTATTTGTACTTACTTATAATGGTCATGTTAAACAAAGTATCTTGTCCTGAAATAATTATTAAGAACGTAAAAATTACCTTTACTATCAGTGCTTTTTTATTGTTATTTAAGGCCTGAGTTCTTGTATTGACCAAACTTATGACGACATTAGATTTGATTAAAATCCTCTTCCCTATTGGTCTTCGAAATATACCCACAGCGCACATGTGTAACAAATTGTTAGGGTAAATTTTTTACTTTTAAATCAATTATATTATTATTTAAAATTGATCTTTTTATTATTCTGACTAGTTATCTGATAGTTTAAGTGAATTAGTGAATTTGAAAATAAGCATTGATTTCAAATATATTGCGAGTTTTTATACGCATTTTATTTGATAGTTGCAATAAAATAATTGCAGTATATAAGTAACATACCTTCAACTATCGCAGTTAAACGTGATGAAATGACTAAAAAAAATCTCAAGTTCGTCAAAGATGGTGAATAACGTTAATGAGCACAAATAAAAAATAATTGGGCAGACTCTAAATTCGTGCACGCGTATCCCAACAAAATAATTAACGGGTTCAAAAGTCAAAATGTAAAAATATGTCTTATTGGAAAAATAGCCATTTGTTTCATATTATACCGGCATACAGTTTTGTCCTATTCAAATTGTAACGTACTTTATACTTTATGTTTGTTATTCATGTTCTTGTTTGTCAATCAATGCCCCACAATTGATAGAATTTCAAATTATTTAACATCATAAATATTTTCACAATGTTCCTATATTCGCCGATTCTTGTAATTTGTAAATTATAATAGTGTGATAAAAATCTTATGGAAAGTCATGAACTGATTTTTTATTATATTTTCTTTAATTTTACCACTTAGTGCATTGCGCATTGTTCATTTACTATATTTTTCATAATATACTTACCATCCGTATTATGTGAAATACTCTTTTTGGATACTGCAATTATTTAAATAACTTGGGATTCTCAACTTGCTACAGTAATTGTTATATGGCGATTACTTGAGTATGTAAAATTATAAATTAAAACATCTACCGAGAGAAAAAAGCAACGGCTGATAACAAATGTCATACAAGGCATTAAAAGTAATAATTCCGTATAGTTTATAGCTTCAAGTATCATATCAGCCATCATGTACCGCCTTTTTCTACAACAACAAAGTATCGATATCTAATCTCTTTTGGTTCAGTCACTATTTCCTGCACTCTCTTTATCTCTAGCTATATTGAAGAATACAGAAGACGTCATATTCAGTTGCCACCATTGTACAACATAGAAGTAATCTGTTGGGGATGCTAGACGTATAGTATCGCCAATTTTTATCAGGAAGTTATCAGCAGCCAGTTTGAAAAGATATTTGTAGTGTGCTCCACGTTTAATAATTGGAATTTATCACCAATTGTTTTGTTATATTATCGTTTGTTCTTTAAGCGTTTATATTTTTTTCATCAAGCGCCTGTCTTGCTGATAGAGGAAAAAAGTTTCATTCAGAATGAAACGCAATATATAAAATCACATCCACTAGAGTTTATTCAAATTAAAATGTCAGATGATGGTCCACACATGACTACAAGAGCATCTGAGTGTATCAATGTGCTATTTGACAAGGCAATTCTTACAAACCGTTTTCAAAATCCGATTATAGGAGGTTTATAATATTATATCCGAAAGCTCGTTCTAATTAGATTTAGTTATTTAGTGAAGTTGGCTACCTAGATAATTCGGTTATACAGCTCTTGTGCGTGCTACAGGGTTGTCGCCAAAAAGTATACCTGCCATAACGTGCTCCCTAATATAGAATAACAATGAAGAAAATTTTTTCTATAATTGGAAAAAAAAAACATCACTCACTTCGTATAGTGAAATTAACTTTTGAACTTCCGCCTGCAAGATGAGAAGTAGGCGTAAAGATAGTACGAAAAATTCGGACAAATTCAGAAATATTTAATAGATAGTTATGTATTACAGATACTTTTTAAACATAAATGCTGTGTGTTGCAAATATAAGATCACCTCGAAAAGACATTGCTGAACACTATTTGACAAAATGAACAAATTTTCTACTATGGAAATTGCTAAAACGCTCATTAAAAATTGAAATATAAATCCTTATGCTCTTACCATCTACTGCCATTGTAAGTTGGCCCATTAAGTCTGTTAATATAGTATACACAAACATTTCCATTGAAATTACTTTGATCTAGATTCTAGTGTATCGTTATCGTGGGTTAGCCATTGGGAGAAATATATTTAATTATTTAATATAACATATTAACAAACTATTTAAGCATCTCATCTCAATAATTGCATATCGACCTATACATATACAGTATAAAACACATACGCATAAAGTCCGTATTGAGAGTCGCGCTGACATCTGTAAAACAATTTCTATTACGTTAAAAGTTTGATTAATAGCTAAATAACTTCAGAAATGAAAATACGGCATATTTGAATGATATTTTTTTATTTGATTATATGCTCGTCACAACGATTCTAATGTACTATTTAAATATCTAAATTATTCCATGTTTATTTATGACTATCTGTTATCATGTGATATTTAGTATACAGAGGAAACATGACCCTGTTCGCCCTTATTACAGGTTTACATGCATGGGCATGCTATGCGGAGGTATCCGCAATCAATTATGAGCTAAGTGTTGGCTGAGATGCGCAGTTCGATGGCAAATGACACTTAGCGGATATTTTAGTGTCAGAATATAGGTACGGATGAATAATTTCTGGTATATATAAGCTTCCCACCAAAATTTAATTTTTGTATTTTATAACTAGATTCATATACCCAAATGTATGTTCTTTAATATGCCGAAATATACCTTTATATTACCTTTTAATCCGTTTGTATAATTGGTATCTTTATCTGTAATAGTTGCAATAGTATTGGAATTTGAAATAACCTGCTAAAGCATTTATCATGTTATTTCAACATCAATACAGTAAAATAACGGTACCCAAACTTTTTGTTCCTGCGGCTCCAACTTATCAGGGGAAAAAAATGCTGCTCTTAGATAAAACTTAATTTGGTGATCGTTAATATGCACTTATTGCCTTTTAAAGTTTGTAAACCTGTAGGCCTAAGGAATAAAGACATCTTAGCCTGAATTTTCTTTAGAGTACTAAAAAAATCACTCATGTTCGCTAAACTCGGTTCAGAAGATAAATAAACTTCAGTTCGCGAAATTGCAGCTAAGTAGTATCTACCTCTATTGATACGTAACGATGGAGGCAGACACCACAATCTACATAACATAAAGTAAACGACATGGAAAAGGAAAATGATTTTATTGATTCATATACACAGTATTTACAAAAGGAAACATTTATAATATATACAATATGTAAAATATTCAATCATATTTTAGTTAGCTTTAATACAATTCTGTGCTCTCTTTGGGAACCAATGCATTAAAACTTAACAAACCAGTAAATCCTCTTATGACTGCATCTTCAATGCCTGCAAAATTTAAAATCTCCGATACAAGTATGGAAATGTTTTGTTTGACTCATCATATGCCATTATATGCCGGTAGTACAGAACAATGGTAAACAAAATAACTACAGCTCGACGGTGTATACAAAATTTGATATCAGACAACAAACACTCCACTCAATGAAATTAAAAAATAATTGATTTCAGTCATATTCCTCAGTTCAAATCTAACAGGTCGTTTCATTATTGACAAAAGAAGAATATTAAACCTAATGTCACAACTTACTGCCAATTTCCCCACTGAGTAATGTATTTTGACCTGGAATTACAATATAAAATTCTTACACGTTTATTATAAATGAAAATGAATGCCGCACTTAACTTATAGGATTCAAGAGCTTTTCAATTGTTTTTACCGTTTTTGTTATTTTTAGCATGAAGTATAATATAAATGTCATTGTAATTACAATATATATAATTTGTGATGGAACCAAATTTACGTAAGTTGATTTAGAAGACACAGCTTCATTCAGTCATTCTTACCTCTCAAAACTACAGTTGTTTCACGCGAGAGATCTAAAATAAAAAGTTTGAACATAAATTAGAAATAACCTAAATATTATGAGAGATGTGCATGCATCGTATCATTTTAAATAAACCGTCCAACCTGATAATACGCTTCTGGTTGACTTGAATTGATCTTTGTGATAAAAAGAAAATATACCATTTCAAGCAATATTTTATTATCTGTGTCAATATAACGATGAATTAAAAATAAGCATAAACAATTTTTAATTTTTCACTTGTAACAAGCTGTCACCTATCCAACTTACCGTCAAATAGCGTTGTACCATCTTCGTCTATAGCTAGAAATCATATACACACGTTACATTTTAATAAAAATCGACTGATAATTAATTCAAAGTAATATTTCTTCGACTATTTGTACTAGTATTGACTCTCTATTTCATAATTGCAAAACATTCTATTAAATAACAACAAAAATTTAAAAAATTTGCTCATTATAAATAAAATTCAGTCATACTCGATAATGTCGACAACGTCTCATTGGTGTTTTCTAAACAAAACAAAAAAACACACTGGTGCTTGGAAACAATAAAAAAGAATGTATTTTATTGCCTATTAACTAGCTTCGTTCTTTGTCCTAATTTTTACGTTGTCCTTATATTATTTCGATATATGCTGGAACTGGGAATAATTCGTCATGTTTTATTAATGAAATGTGTTTGACAACGATAGGACTATAAGCTTTAGCGGTTTCAATATAAAGTTACTGTAAAAGATGGATGAAGAATTCTACAACCTCTCGTTATCAGCGAGAACAAATTTATCTTGTATGCTTACCTTTGGCGTTTTCAGTTATGTTTTCTGTTTGATCTAAAATCGAAATTACATTCAATTTGATGTGAAAACATCATTTATTGAAAAACATATGAGAATCTTGCATCAGATGTACTTACTTTGAATTCGTATTAGAGCATCTTCCACTTGATCTGAAAAACAAAATTACATACTAAACACACATAAAATAGCATTGACTATATCAGTTCTCAAACTTCTGTATAAACTCGACCCCCCAAATTTAAGAATCACTGGACTATATTACCAATTTATTGAAATCTGCCAATAAGACAATATTCATATTTGAATTCTGAATTTTTTTTGTTTTATGCTTCAACCTTTGCATACTATTTTTTTGTTTTAAAATCAAAAAATCTTTTTAGAATAGGACTATTCGTATCCGTAACAAGATATACTGTTGAAAAGATCCTATCGAAAATCAGGGATTGTTATTGGTTTGTTTGGGTTTTAGTGACAAGGAAATTATTCTATCATTAAAAATGTGTTCTATATGCTATTTAGAATATTTACACTAAACAGAATTTTTTCTTGAATTGATAAACAGTTTTTGGATATGAATGGACATGTGAATTGAGTTTAAAATTTGCAAGTCCCGGTGGCAAAATCTGACCTCTTGCTAAACCACTGCGATGAGTGCTGTGTGGAGTTCACACTTTACCTACAGTGATTTATCTAATTAGTAAAAATTTTAGTATCTTACGATCCATCCTATTTGTCATGTAGTTGTCAATGCCTGAAATGTTAATAATTGTCAATGTCTGAACATTCGGCAGATTAGAAATATTCTTTTGTCATTGTATATGAGGTTATCAGAATTGAACAGAGTTAAGTATTACAAGCAGAAAATTCGAAATTGTGTTTAGTGTTTACGTAAACGTCATTTTTTTATTACTGATATAGGTATAAGCAAAAGTCTTACCCATGATTTCATTAGAAACTGGCACTTGGTTATCTGCAACAAAAATATGACAAAATACAGAGAATGCAAGCAGAAAAATACACAGAATGATCTAATTAAAATTCCGTTTTTACTCTACTCATTTCGATGTTATTTTATTTACGCAGGTATTCATTTGAATGAGTTCTTGAAACTTATTAACTGTTGAGTAAACGCTGAGTGTTCCACAACTACGGAAATGCGTTTATTGCCATAAGTTTTAATCAAATTTAGAACACCTTGGACCAGTGGTTCTCAAACTTTTTTAGTCCCAGAGCCAAATTTCAAACCTCAAAGTTATGAAGAGCCGCATACAAACAACGCAAGGTAAAATAGCAACAAAACTTAAGCGCGTAAAATACCAAGCCATCGTAACAACAACACACGTAACAACTAGGGCTAGGAAAAATATTCGAATAACGAATAGAATAATAAAATATTCGAATGGCATTTTACTATTCGAATATCCGGTACCACGTGACCTGCGCCGCTCTGCTTGGACACCGAACTCGCGCGTCTCCGACTCAATCGTGAATTGTGCGAGATTTCCCAAAGGCGCTCGCTATCAGAAAAAAAAAACGACATGAAGTTGATCGAAATCAAATGTTAAAATGACTTTTCGGCGTTTCATTATGAAAAAGGCGTTTTTTGGTTGTTAGAAAACTCTAGTTATATAAATAACATGGATTAAAAATAACCAAAAGTTTTTCCAAAAGCTGGTTTGAGTTACTTGTATGAAAAACACTCATTAAGCTGTAAGTTGAAATGTCATGTCCTACTCCCTTTAAAGCACTTTGTATTAGCTCTTTAGTGATCCCTTCCATCCTTGGCCAGGTAATGTTTCAAATATGTAAACATTTTACTCGACCATTCATGGATGTTGAGCCAAGAGTAGAACGCAAAATCAATCGTGAATTTCGTTGTAACAATGCACACTGACTCGTTCACGAAATTGTTGGGTCTATTATCATCGAAAATGATTACAATTGTTAAATTTTGAAGTATTTGAGCAGTAATAATTAAGTCTTAAGGCATAATTAAAATCAATAACTGAAGAGCTGAATTTGCGAATTCCGCAAATAAAATTGAACCTCACTAAGTATTTTAGCTATAATAACCATCTGGGTGTTGTTTTGTTGAAAAAAAAACGTTAAAACTTGAAAGAATTAGTTATAATTAGCGTCTGACCCTCTATTAGCCACAAAGGCCTAGAAATGACATCATTGCCAAGTTATTTAATCGCTATTTTGAATCAATATTCAGGATTCACGCAATTTCAAATTTGCAAGGTTTATCTATCTAATACTAAAATAACACGAACACCATAGAAAAGCATGAGAAACTCAATTATCATTTTAATAAACATCTGCATCTCGATTATCGTTCACTTTAAACATGCACGGTTAATTTACAAGCGGTGATAAGTAAGATCAAATGCAAGGCAGAGGATAAAACTCAGAATGAAATTAATTTGGTTTTGAAATCAGCCTTTAACGTATTTAACAGCTGTCGCTGATGTGAACGCAAGGGTATACTAGAAATAAGAAACTTCGATATACGGCGACCGCTTATACTTGCAAAAAACGAGAAAGGGCGGGATACCAACTTTAGGATATCGCCGAAACGATCGCGGTGACAATGACAATCAGCGATTATGATGAAATTCACCATTAAACCAGTATAAAAACACTTTATTGCCGACTTTTCAATGTTTCTATTAATTTTCAAATGGAGTATCGACCTCCGACGTTCTGGATTCCCGTTATGTATAGAAAAAATATTAATTATTCGACTATTAGGTATTCGTTAAAAATATTCAAATTATTCGATTCCAAAAAGGATTCGATTTTGCCCACCCTAAACTAACATCCATTCAATTTGGCTTTGATTTCTCAGTTTGTCAAAGCGGGTCGTAATCGTGTAAGATGCAAGGTGCAGTAGATGCTCGAGATGATCGCCAGATATTTCGGGACTATTTTCGATTACTGGAACAAAATTAAAATGCTCTAGAAATTAAAATAATCAGTAAGTTATTTGATTTATACATAATATTCGGAAATGCGACAAAAACTGAAAATCCACAAAAGCAAGCCAATGATTACAGCCATGTGTAAAATCTTTCCAAGTGAAAAACGAGAATATCGGTTGGAAACCGAAGACTTATCGATCGATAGTTAGGGATCTCCCAAAACAGAAACTGCAGTTTCGATTCATCCGCTCTTGTAACTTGCGCACTGCGCATCGCACACACACACTCGGCGGTTCTAAAAATTCTCTCGCTTTACAAAAATCTAGATCACTATATCAATAATTGATTGATAACTCGCTAATTATACGATATAGTTCGCCCAAAATCAATAGGCTTCTGGTCCGAGATAAGATGAATGCACATGCAAAATCTGGAGCAGATTCAATCTCGCTTTCGTGAGATATCGCGTGCATCTAACAGACAAACAGACATACATACAGACATACAGACAGACAAATACCTATCAACATACTTACCGATTAAAATCGATAAGTAATGAGTGGCCGCGAAAACGCTTACTGTTGCGTCACTATTGCATCTTGTAGATTGCTAAACTAATACAGTGGTCGGCAACCACCGGGCCGCGGCCCATTCTCGGTCCGCCAAAAAGTGAGATGACACAAAAACGGGCTAGGGCTTAATAACACCTCTACCATCTAACCACTAACCTTACGACTAACAAACACCACCCAACAGCAAACCAGACAAACTCAACGCATTAGTTATTGCTAAACGAACAACAAGCAATGCCAAGATATAGATACAGAAGCTGTACAGGCATTGTTACTTTCACAACATCGTTTTTTTGAGGCCGGGTTTTCAATATTGACAACTACAAAAACGAAATATCGAGGTAGGCTGGATGTAAGAAACGCGTTACGTGTATCACTGTCGACCATGTCTCCAAATTGGAAACTGTGAATGGCCAACAAACAAATAGAGATCTCGCATAGCATCACCTTTTTGAATATATTGTCAACGTAAATTTTCAAACGCGTATACTTTATTACATAAGCTTAGTCCATTTGTATAGAGGGTGGTCCGCCAAAATTTTGATCAAGTTATACCGGTCCGTCACTAAAAAAAGTTTGCCGACCACTGAACTAATAGACTTCCGCATTTTAATTTCAGGACAATGATTAGTTTTCAATGAAATATTTTATTTGAAAGTAATACATTTTTAAAGCATTAATAAGAGCCGCAGGAAAGGTTGTTTGAGAATCCCTGCCTTAGACAGTTGTCGTCTGAATGGGAATGCTGATATATACAAACCATTCATTCATACATCGAGGCATCATTACGCTCGCAATTGGTAGAAAATGAGTTGCTAGCGCCAAAATTCTTATGTTTCTATGATAACAGGTCTTACTTAACAACGACCAAGAATTTTTTTATCTCACCTACGAAGACGTCCTCAATATTTTCAGTTTGATCTAAACACAATAAATAAGCTGCTCATTAGGCATCATTGAATATGAGTATACTCTCACGTAATACTGTTTTACAAAAATGTGGCCAGTTCAAAGTCAAGTATATAAAAATTCCTCTTTACGGATATAGCCTATTTTTTGAAATACCTAGCATAAGCATCAGTCCAAAAACAAATCGATTTTCATGCTACACGTGTTTTGCTATTTTGTCAATCGAAAATCATAACAGATGTTATAATATAATTATTTCAAGGAGGTTTACTTGATTTTATTTCGTGCACAAATTCTGTTGCGTTTTCAATGTCTTCTTCAAGTGCTAAAATTAAAATATTTAATATTTCAACAATTGATTAACAATTTAAAATAACGATTTATCATTAAAAACAAATAGAATATTCAACCAGATGTGTGCAATCGGAGTCGCGTGTTGGAATCGACTTTTGGCTTGTTTTTAGCAGAGTCGCAGTCGTATTTTCAGACTTTCCAAAGTCGGGAGTGTGATTCGGAAGTTCAGACATCCAATGGTAATAATCGAAGTCTCGATTTGTTACAGAATTGGAAGAAATAAGTCCTCTGGGAGTTTTTATTAGTGTTGTAAAAGGAGACTTGACTACGACAAGGAGATTTTATCGTCAAAATTTAATTCCTCGTCATTTCGTTGCTGGACTCGAAAAATTCCATCAACTTTAAGCGGTACCCGGAGTCTACATTTTGGTAACTCGTATTCGGACTCGATTGTAAAATTTCTGTCTCTAAAGCTCTGTGTTAACAACAAATTGAACAGATGAGAAACAAACTAAATTTGAGTATATATATATAAATGTAATTCTGTTGTTGTAATATTTTTATTTCCAATCTACTTTCCAGCATGAAAATCTTGCCAGATTTGAAAAGAATCGAATCCCGCAATGTTTGTATCTCATAAAAATTCGAGATTTAGATTAGATACATTTGTCGATTTATACTTGACTTATACAGTCATTGCAACAGTGTAACCGAACGAACTGTTTATTATATTTAATGCGAGGGATTCTAAAATATCGTCACGCTAATAACCAAATTGCGTAAGTCATTTTTGGCGATTTGGAGTTTTTTATAAAATAGGTATTTATGTAATGCTGCGCACCTGTCTGTTAACTCAGATTTTATTTTAAGAATTCCGAAACCCATAAAAATAGAAATTTAGTATGACATGCATATTTGTGCAATTGTTTCGTCATAATGAATTATCATTGTTACCGCAGGACTATTGTGATGTCACAAAGGCAAAATAACCTCGGCGAAGTATTTTCGAGTTTTTGCATCTCGGATTCTAGCTTAGCGCGTATTAATTTGAATTTATACTACAGTATAGGAAGACGTGCACTTGTGATATTCACTGTCCGAGTCCAATTCACCTTGGTTGGCTTTTATATTGGGTGCATTGCTGTTTTATTCTTTATATTTAATCTTAGTCTTATTTCGGTGGGTGTGCAAAACGTGTTATATTGATGAAATATATATTTTTAAAAATAGAAATAATGTAATTGAAACTGATTAGCTATTTTGGGGATTAGACATTGCAGATATATACTGGGAATTACATTCGTTTTTGGAATGTTTAGTTTTCAAGACTGGTGGATATAGAAAATTGCAAAATTTAGTATGTCCCCAAGTCATGAACACATTTCTGCCTAAGTCACAGTGCGCCATCATGACGTCACTTAACTGCGTCATACAAATTAACTTAAATCCGGCTACGATCAAAAAATTGAACCATGGCAAATTATTGACTCTCAATGGCATAACAATATCATTAGGAAGTTTTTTTACGTTTTTCTCAAAACTGCTAAAAATCACTTACGCAATTCGGTTATTAGCGTGACGAATTATGCTGAACATTCTGGTGTCGTCCGTTAAGTTTGTTGCTTCGAATATCACCTTTTTTCATATTCCTATTCTTTTGATGCAAATCATAAATTTGTTTGATAAAACAGATATGCACAGACTGTGAATATTGTCTGGTCGCATAACTAAAATTAATTGAATAATGGATGATGATACTGCAGGATGAAAAACATTTTGTCACATTCGTTGTTAGCTCTAGTCATCTAAAATACTGATAAAAGATGTTCAACGTTTGTAAAAAGTTCTTAGCGTGTATGGATTGCGGGAACAAGTATCTAAAACATTGTATTACCATTCATTCGAGTCAAAACTTGTCCATTGTGGCCTGTTTTAAATACAATATTCATCATGTTATGTAAAATATATTTAATACCATGTTCAGTTGAGAAACTGATACAACTTATGTAAATCGGATTATACAAGCAAAACACACCACAACCACTCTAACGTTTTGAAGTGCTCGGTATCAATTGAACCGTATTAATTCGTTCTTTTAAGAGAACAATTCAACATAATTTTCTAAGGATAATGCTCTGTTCAATGCAACAAGAAAAATGCCCCGAAAAAAGATATAATAGCAACTGTAATTCGATCGTGCCAGTCTACATTCAACAAGCAGAAATGTTTTAAAATAAGGTAGTTTGGAAAATTACGACCCCTCGACACTTCATATTAATATCAACAACAGTGTAAAATCCTGACAATTTTATGTATTTTTAATTGAATTGAATTTTATATCTTCAACGCAAGATTGAATCAATATCCATACATCTTTTTATTCATTCCTGGAAACGCTAATTTAAATGGATCAGATTATCAATTCATCGCTAATAGTAAATGCGTTATATAGACGAATCAGATATCACATAACAGAAGTCAAAACAATACACTACCATTTATCGAGTTCTTCCTCAGATCAATTTGTTCTGGAGCAAAAACAAAAACCAATTTGAACCAATCGAATCAATCATTTTTAGTTAATAAGTCGGGCGTTGTGAATCAAATAGTTTGAAACGTTAGCATCCACGCGCTATATTCGCAATGACAATATAAAATATTTTAAAAATTGAAACAAACTCGAATTTATGGAAATAGTTTTTATAATATATAAGATGTTTCTATGACCATAATGCTCACCCTGTTCCAGTAATAATCTTTCTAAAATTGATAAAACAATTCCAATAATAATAATAATACCGAAAATATGAAATAAAAAAAAATCTATTCATTTATTTTATTTTATTAAAATATTATAATTCAAATACTTGCTATCACATTTGATTTAAGCTACGCGTAATAGATGCACGAGAATTCATTTTAATGATTGAAAATTCTTAAGGCGAAGTTGCGTACGAATTACAGTGCCACACAAACTTTAGATTCCCTTTAACGTTCAACTGTATTAGAACGTTTTCGAAAATTAGGTTGTATGTTTTAATGTTTTCTTTTGCTCCCTGCTTTTCCCGGTAAGATTACTAGTATACACCTACGAGTGGATTGGTCTCTGAATTGGGTACTTTTCTTTTAATAATTACATATAAATTCCCTATTGCGACAGTAACGCCATCATGCATAGGATACAGCGCATAGAAGTTTTGCAATTTTTTTATTGTTATTTTAAATTTTTTTGACGCAAAAAAAAGTTTTGCAACAAAATGGGCACATGCCGCTTATCTTCTTTATGGACCTTTTGAAGAGTTTATCTTTCATTACAGATGATTACTTGTAAAAATCAAGAAATTTTACTCTGAGCAGAAATACATGGATTGCTCGGAAGCAATTTTACAGTAAGATAATAGGAAAAAAGTTTTTGAGATTTTAATACCAATACCTTTCTCAGAGGAAGCTACTGCAATCTTCACATCTTTTTCCTATAAGACGAGTAAAAAAGAGTAAAAAATTATCAAGTATTCTGACTCCTCAAACTTCTCATAGAACATTTTCATGCTAAATTACTTCGATATACAAACATAATAAATTTAATTCAATTGTTTATTACCTATTTCAATTATCAAGTAAACGAATGTGTCGCTGGATCAGAACAGAATGGGCCTAAGTCACATTTTTGGAAAATTCACTTTTTTCAATATTTTGGGGTTTTGAGCCATGCCCTACAAGATGGTTGTCTTGGAATTTTGAATTTTTCATTAATAAAAATTTTAGCTGGACTTAGGACTATAAAATTTTGTAGAAGTTAAGAACAGAATGGGCCTAAGTCCAGATAAAAAAATTTATTATTGAGAAATTCAGGATTTCAAGACCACCATCTTGTAGTGCACGACCCAACACCCCAAAATATTGAAAAAATATAGTCCTAAGTTCCAATATGATGGGCATGAACATCAGAAATGAAATGTCCAAAACTTACATCCCTAAAAATTTGTTCAGTGCAACTCAGGCCCAAGTCACCTTGCATCTCATACAAAAAAATTCAGAAGTTGTTGAAAACAGAATGGGCCAAAATCCTTTAAAAAGGCAGGAAGGAATTGAAGCTGAAGAGTCAAAAAATATTGCTTACAAAGATATTCTCATCCACATTAAAATAACCAGAGCTCAGGTCTTTACTAAGTGTGAATATCTAGAAATTCGAAAATAGAAAAATTCCAAATTGTTTTTTGCGTTTTTCTCAAAACTCAAAATTGTGACTTAGGCCTGTTCTGTTCTCATCCGGCGATGTACTTACTTTGCTATTTGATTTGCGATAGAAATGATAAACTGTAAATGTATGTCATCAATTTTATTACATACGCATTAGATTTGAAATAGTCTTAAAGCGTTATAGTCTAATTTTCTGATTTAATTGAATATTTCCGATCCCAGATATCTAAAATAAAATTTATATTATTTTACCTGTAAAACTACAAAGACCACGATGGTGCATGCTGCCACAGAGATTGCAAACACAAACACAATAAATGTAAGAATCAGTTTCCACTCAATTTCTGAATAAATAGCAATGTTAAATATTTAGAAATATAAATCAAATATTTTACAACTTTCCATAAAATTAATATCCCAAACTTGAACGTCTTATCATAAGTTTTAAGCGAAAAAGTTGGTAGCGAGAAACAACTTTTGATTCTTCATATTTTTATCCGCTCAGATTTTGTAATTTTTACACATATGCATCTATTATATACATGCTATTGTTGGTAGGGAAATATATATTTTAATTTACCATCTGCTGCAAAAGATCCAAATAATTCTTTCTTGGTTTGTTTTTGTTTCTCTTTCAGCTCTTTCTTGTTCATTGATTTCGTCCCCGGAACATCCTTTTCAGATTTTACTGCTTCCACATATTTTGCTTTTTCTTTCGTTGCTAGTTCGGATAATATTGACCTTATAATACAAAAGTACATTATTTACTGTTTTTAATAATAGGAAAACAGCAAAATTGATTTTACTCATTTACTTTTTTTATTAAATTGCAACAAAATTCCAGCTGACAACTTCATGTTACTAATTTCAATTTAGCGTTTATATATACTTTGAATATCTATACAATATCCACATCATTCCATTTGATTTTCATTTGAGTGAGGGGGTTCGGACTTTCTACTTTCTTTCAATTAGGCCGTGATTCAGATTTGTTTTGCTATGAAAGGAGATTTGATTATGTAAAATACATTCTTGAAACAATTTCTGTTACCTATTTTAGTTATGATTTCCTATCGAAAACTTATCGAAGTATCATATGAACGTAAACCAAACGACCTACAACAAAATTATCTAACGTAAAGTGAACGTTCGGCAATTTTCAAAATGGAACGACAAAGAATAACTTTACTTTTTAGAACTGATAGATCTAACATCATCAATAATTGCAGCATCATCCATTCTTTCTTCTTGCATGCCTTCTTCCAACTCTTCTTCATCTTCTGTTTGTATAATATAATGAAAGCAACTTATGACTTTTATAGTCAACAAACACTAAAAATGATTTTCATATCTGTTGCTTCAGTCCATGTCTTTACGTCATTTGAGAGTTGCACAAATACACATAACAATACTTTCAGGATGGTACAAATATTTTCAGGCCCACTTAAAACTGAAACTTCACACGTAAATGCAGTGAATTATGTAATAATAGTATCCAAGATAATATATCATATTAACTAATATAAACCCATTTTACCTACTGCTAAAATTTGCACAAACAATGTCAAATGATTTCACGAAGCGGACTAACTGCAGGGTGGACACAACGATATATAAATTAGGTTTTTTATAACCCAAAATATGAATTATTGCTTTTCTTCTTCCACAAATTTTTATAAAGAATATAGTTCCTTTATTTCACGTAACATCCGGAACAAGGAATTCACTATGACATCAATCTTGAAATTATTACGTGTAGTTGTTCATTTTATGGTGATATACTAAGGTACATTCATGTAGAATGGTAACTACTTTTTTAATACTTATCGCTTCTAAGTTTGAGTATATTCTTTTATAATGCGAAAGTAAGTGTATGGCACGACACATACGGTGAATTTTTTCTAGCAGTAGTATAAGATTTCTATATTAACCCATAAACTTCATCAACACAAATTCTGAAACAAATACCTAAAAGATTGAGCAATATCGGTGCGTCTAAAATTGATCTTACCGACTTCTTGGTTAAGGGAATCTGCGCCATCTTCTTGACCAGGTTCACTCATTCGAATGACTTCGTCTTTTTGATTATCAAGACTTCTCTCTATATAATTTAAAGTAAAAATATAATAAATAAATAGTATAGATAGAATTATGTGTATTTCCAAAAGTTTCATGACATTATCACGAATTTGTTAGCGTTATTTTGTTATAATAATATTATATTTTGAATCCACCTTAATAGCATATAGCAAACTTTTAATGACGAAAGTTTATTTTGCTACATATTTGTAACAAGAGATCCTCGCCACAAAGACCATGAGCAAATATACTAGCTCAAAAATATGCGGACATGCAAATAGCTTGGTTTCATTGAACAAGCCGATGTATTTTTCAACTCGAAGTGGAATTTGAAGGCCAGTTATTGTTAATCATGTATCGATCTCGGCGACGTAAGTTGAAACACAAGAAAATGCAATTTTCTTTTGTATCATATCAGTATTATTATATTTTGTACAATTAAAAAAATAATACAACCCATACATTACACGAGAAAATATACGTATATATACGTGCACATCCTAGATATATTTTGTATTTGTTAGTTATATGTCTGCATAACTGTTTTTGATACTCGGCTGATGCCCTTATGTAGTTCTGCAAATTCTTTCGGACGTATGGTTTCTTATTAGTGTTTATAAAAACATACTTACATACTTTCCTAAATTTGATATTTTGATACGGATTTGGATTGTTACTTGAATTTATTCTCGTTTTAATACATATTAAAAGGTCCTATTTTGGGTTTGACCACGTAAAAGGTCTATTTAATCATCATTTCGGGCACGCTATTTTCTCAGCAAATGATGGAAAAATCCTGAATTGCCAAAAACTACAGAACTCTTTTAGAATTGTGCACTGAATTACGATACACTCAGGACAAGAGATTTTATTAACAGCGACGAAATTCATTGTTATTATTTATTTGTTGATTTTCGCATGTACTAAATTTCATTATTAGTTTGATTAGTATCATTAAGTTTGTTGCTAAGTTATTTTTGAACCTATGTTACCATCTTCATATGTAGTTGAATCCTCGTTTATGCTTTCCTGTGACATCACTACTTCAGACACACGTCAGATCCAAAAAGACAATACTAGTTGGGGGCTATAAAAAAATCTAAAAAACTATGCTTCTTAAAATTTCTTTTCAAAGCTTCTTTTCTACTCAATAGATTTCAGTAAACAGATTCAGTTGACACCTGAATATCCATGTGTTTTTACATTTATGTCCATTTATATTTTTGGGTTTTCATCAAAATTCAAAATATTAAAGGCCTAATTAAAGCAAACAAAAGCGCATCTCGTTACGTTATCGCAATGACACGTTGAAATAAACTCGGATACGCGTTTGACTGAGGTGTTGTAACATGATGACAAATTCACAGGAAATAAGTTCAATAAAAGCTCCATCAAGAGGTTCAAAAAACGGAAATCATTCTTTGCGAGGTTCAAAGTCTTCTTCGTCGTTTTATTTGTGTTGATGGAAATTCTTGCCGAATTCACTGTGATTTTGCTATCACGAAGTCCGGCGTTGCCTTCATATCTACAGATAGCGGTCGGAGCTAAGGCAGCTTGCCAGTAAAACGTAACGGCTTGTTTATAATGGCTTGTTTTTTATTGGTAGGCTCCATTTCGTCATTTTCCGCGCTTTGATACTATTTTTACCATTTCGTGTTGCATCTATAGATAATAGATATTTGCTTAATTGGGTTTTTGACCAGTTTTGAAGCATGTTAATTTTGCTCTTTTCTTTTCGAAAGCGCTTTCCAAATTACATTGTTTATAACTTTTCTTGTTGTTTCGTCCACGGTGTTACTTTCGTCAGATACCGGCTCATTTTATATGTCCAGGCGTGTTTTAGGTTTATATATGAATGCTTTGAATGTACCCGGTATATGATATCCTGGTATATGATCTTGAGTATTCTCCAGGTGACGATAAACTTTTCCAGTATATGTTCAGCACTGTCTGGCTATGTTTCCTTTCCCAATTTTGCAGTCAAGATGTGCTCTTTTTCCACCCCGTGTAAATTTTAAATTCAGCTTCCTTCATAAACTTTTCTAGTATTTTCTAAATTCAGCTTCCTTCTATTTTGCGTCGTGCGCAAAACGTTGGGCGATACAAATTTGTTTGATGTTAATGATGTCTTCAATGTTTTTTTCCTTAATTCCCATTATTATCCTCAATATGTTATTCACGTACGTCTTCGAATTTTTTCATTCCGTGTTTTGATTGTTGGATCGAATAGGGCATGTGTTCTGTTTAAAATACTTAACATTGCTTCCTAGATTGTACAGTTCCACTGCATGCCAAATTTCTTTTGGTCCTTTTAAATTTAGACTTTCAATGATTTTTACTTTTTCAGAATTACAAGATATAGCACGGTAAGTCCTGTTCGGTTATATGTTCCCAAATTGAATTGAGGTTTTCTATCGCATCGAAGATCGATCGTTTACGTTTGGTTCATTTATGGTTGCTCAGTATGTATTTCCCAATATAATTTTCAATCTATTAGCAACTATTTCTGCGAGTAATTTATAGTCGAAGTTTAAGTTCGAGATTGGTCGATAATTTGATTGATGTGTTGTGTTCCCTTTTTCATACTTTTATCTCATTGATGGCTGTTTAACAGCTATAACGTTATTAATTAGGTGATATATGCTCTGCTTTAGGATGTCGTAATATGCGCAGTAAAACTCCTTTGACAGGCCATCGGGACTTTGGGTTTCGTAATTGTTCATACTTTTAGGCGTGTGACTCGCTTTTTCCGTTCCTCCTCTTCTTCTCCGTAATTTTCATGCGTTCATATTCGTCCAAGTAATTATTAATTCCTGTTTCATTGCCATTGAGTGTCCGCGTTCAAAGTTTAGAAGAGTTTTATTTTTTGACGTACTTTATTTTTGTCATATACCAATGACCCGCGGTTATTTTACATGCATTGATTAGCGGTTCTCTTCCTCCAAATTTTTACTTTATTTTATTGGGTGCGTATATTGAATATGGTTAGCATATTGTTGTTGTTAATGTTATTTAGAGCGGTTAGAACGCTAATTCTACCCTGTATGATTATTTCGTATAGTTGATATTGTGATATGTTAATAACTATTCTTTAATTATAGTGTACCGTGCACTCAGAGTAATTTCGTTATGTTTTCCATGGACATGACGTGTTTTCTGTATTGATGTATGCATGATACACTATCTTTTCCGTTGCTTTGAAAAATCATACTCGTTTAAAACGGTGGACGTCGTGTATAGTTAGACTGTCTGCTCCGTAATTTAATTTTAAGTTTTTCAATGTCTTTCAATACCTTTTACATTTATGGAGGTTATAATTTTTCCAATAGAGCTACCGCCCTTTTAGTGATGGATAGTGAATTGGTTAGTTATCATTATGTTTAATTAATACTATAATCTTTAAATATGCATTTGATAGACTACTCTGCTTCGGTTTCTCCGAAGGTAATGTCGGAGATTTCCTTTTTGTCGCGTCCCCTTTTCTTCCCCTTGTTAGTGTCCATGTCGTAAGCGTTGTTCTCATAGCGCTCTCACGATCATTTGAAAATGCCCTTCCTTATATACAGTATCTGCAGACGGGACTGTTTACACAGTTTATGAAGCTATGACCTTCTTTCATGCACAGCCCACAGGTCGGTGTATACAGTTTCTCCGACAGATATGTCCTGCATAGGGCGCCATCAATCATTATGTAATCTGGTGGCAAGTTGTTTTGCTTGAAGTCTTCCGATATTATCAATACATATCGATTGTATATGTTTGTGTTTCTATGATAATTGTTTTGATACACTTCTGATATTACCATTGCTGAGCTTGTTATTTTATGTGGTACTCTTGGGTAGGAAGTTTCATCGGAGATTTCTCTTATATTCTCTTGATATTTGCATCAGTGTGAAAAATTTATATTCCCCCTTTCAGATTCAATTTTTCCACCTGTGGCCGTGAGTACATCTTGTACTCATCTTGTACGGATGTGTCCGTACATCAGATGACTCCGTTTTTTCTAGGTTGTAATCCAAGTCAGCGTGCAAGTCCAGTAAAACATGCCTCTTGGGCACTTATACAGTATAGATCAGCACTAGATTACTAGAGATCTTAATCAAACAGCTCGCGAGTGTATGATTTCAGGCCAAGTTCACCTTTATTGCCAACTATTTTAAATATTTTATTTAACGTTATTTTTTACAATAATATTTGTGGTATAAACTCGAACAAAAATGACTTGCAAGCGTTACATTGAGGACACCCCGATGGTAAATTCTAGAAGAGTGTGAGACAAACAGAACAATGGTGGAAAATGCAGGACAAGTGTGAGGCAAGAAGGAGTATGGGAAAAGCAATACAAGTGTGATTCAAACTGTTTTGTAATAACCAGAGAATGTGTGAGACAATTTTGATTCAATCAGCACAAGTACGGCAAAAGCAAGACAGTGAGGGACTATCGATGATTTTACAGTGTATAGAAAACTCATTGCTATCGCCACAGGCGTTGCACGCTTGAGTAATTAAACTTCCGTAAAATCATATTCTGGGGCGCTTTGCCTTAAAACAATGCTTTTATTATGGCGGAGACGCGGTGAATAAAAGCCTCAAATCTTATAAGAATTAGTATCATACAGGGAAATGTTTCGGTAAATATGTATATACGTCCCTATTTATACACATTGTTAAAATGGGATTTATGAAATGCATTCGAAAATTTTTATAATTGGTCATAAGTGCGAACATAATTGTGGCATTATATATTAAATCCAAGGATTGACATGGGATCAGAAGGTGGCTTCTGATCAATTTGTGCAGATTGTGAAAAGATCTGAAAGGCGTGCAATTACATTTTGGTATATTCGCCGATCGCATTCATTGTGAGCCGCAACGATAGGTCGTGAATACCTTTGAATTTATTCTCATTACTTATTCTTGCTTTAATTACCCTCGGCAATTTTTTTTGTTCCGCTTTATCGAATACATAAAACAATACGAAAAACGCCATTAGTTTATTCAGGAGGCCCGCAACAGATGAAGAACGCTTTTTTAGACATTGAAAATCGCAAAATACAGCACACATTACTGTAAATTGCCTTTGGGAACTATGCCATGGTCAATGAATTCAAAAACACGAGTCAATTATGTGCTCGGTATACATTTTTAGACACTTTGAAACTATCGACGGGGCCACAGGCAACTTTTACCTTGGTTATTATGATATACAACATAATCACTGTACTGCATATTAAATCAATTTTTGTTGTACTGAAATAAATTGTAGTCTCCGATATTTTATCGCAGAACTAGGGATTTTTTTTAACTTGATATCTTAACAATATTCGGAGTGGCAGCCTTCAGAGCGGAATCAGTGTTGCAAGAACAGATCAGATTTTTAGAATTCACAACATCGCAAACATACGAATCAAAACGAGATATAATCGAGCAGTTTTCCACACTTTCTTATGGCCGTGATATGTTATAGTAATGTCGTTATTTGACGTGAGTTGGCGCACCACATGGACGCATATTGGACGAAATTAAATTATCAAAGCAAGCCATTTTCAATAGTCTCGTATTGGTCGTGAATACTTGGCGCAACTGAAAAATCATCAGACAGTGATAATCGTCTCTTTCAGCGAGTGGTTTAATCGCGGCGACTGTTTCAAAAGCTGTTCCGTGGAGATTTCGAGGCGATCAATATGTATCTTTGAACCCATTTGGAAATATTGACTGTGGCCTGATTTCTTACGATATATTAACTAATCAATGTAAAGTACGTTTAAGCAATTTATCAATTGTACTAAAATAAATATTACACTTTGAGATTTTATCGTAGATCTTGGGATTTTTCTAAAAATAATCACAGGTGGCAGTAGATATTATTAAAGCGTATTGTAATCGGACACTATACAGCTCAGTTTAACGCAGAGTTTTGCAGTATTTTAGAGAAGTTATGTTTTTATTTTGTCGTAAGTCGTTGAAAACGGGAGATTCCATGAGCAAAACTAAATTAATATGATAAGACCCTTAAAATGCTCGCATCGACGTGGATTGAATATTTTGAATAATAAAAAACATTACCCGTTGAAAAACTCGGCTTTATACACGAGTGTGATGCAGAACCAGTGAGATGCAAGTAGGAAAATTGTGGGCCACGTAGAGCAAGTGTGAACCATGCAAGACAACTTTTATTGATTCACGATGAGTGTGGGACAAGCAGGATAAATGTGGGACTAGCAGGACAGTATCAGACAAGCATAACTAGCGTGAGGCAAGTGGTACAAGTCTGAGACTAGCA